GTATGGGACTCCTCATCAGTGCGCATTCACGATCCTATACGCAGGATTCGAACCCAGGTGGTCTAGAAGTTAAGCTGTCATACTCGAGACTGAAGGTCTCGAGTTAGAGCCCCGCGTGCGGGATCGTGATGATGAGTCTCATATTAGAACCAAACAGTGGTCCAGTGCTCCCAGGTTTTCAATGCTGGTTCAACATTGATCCATTCATGAAACCAATCGAAACACAACAATCTCCACAACCCTATACTGACATATTGATAGTGACAAGGCAGGTCTACTACTAGTAGTAGTGATAAGAATAATAAAATAACGAATTTTCTAATCATTAGTTCAACATAAGAAATAGGTTAAATGTCGTTAAACGGACTTTAAAATAATAATCACAAAACATTATTAAAGTTATATAATATGAAGTGTGTAAGTTATTAGCTGCGGAAGAATATAAACGGAAAGATGTGAAAAATGACAAACCATAATAGGATGTGCCCTCAAATGCCCTGGTACGGCCGAGAGTGGGGAGAGTCCGCTCTACCTCTCGAAATGCTCTCACATGGCCATGCGTATATAGCCTCTGCCAGGGAAGTCCTACTCACTGCCTTCTCGTGGCATTACTGTTGTTTACGAAAATGAGAGGACGAAAAGCGAATGTCGGCGCTTTAACCGGATCCCAAACCAAATCAGTGGTGCACATGGGCTCCAGTATCCTGAGGGAACAAATGGTGTATGAACCAATCGTTGGTCACCGGCTACCATGGGACTGCATCTCCTTACGTTGCTCCACTATCTTGTGAATTAGACCTCTTGGTCAAAGACTCCGGGTGTGGCCCCCTAAGCAAACCACTTGCTTCGGTCTGGGCGCCCGGGCAGTATCACAGCCCACAAAGTCAAGTGACCTGTGCGGCGCATATGTATTTTTTGCCCCTATTTTTACCAATATATATGTGTTCAAATCAATCAATCAATAATAATTAAAGCCTATGACCTTTAATCATTATGGTCAATATGTTCATATTTCAATCATAGATTTGTTCATTTTTATATAAGAAAATATCATATCATCCTCCTGGTAAACCTACCTGATAAGATTCAATGTTGCACGTAGTAGTAGACCAGCGATAATAATCCGTTTAAATAGATTTATTGGCTTAAAACAAATTCAAATAAATCCTTCATTAGTTATATGAAACTGCTTTACATAAGAGTTAAAAGAGAATCCTTCAAATCAGAAATGTAAACAGTTAAATTGGAACAATAAGACTATGAAATAGATTAATGAATTACATAAATAGTTGATTGTAGTTGAAACTAGTGTTTTTTAACGAGCTAGTTTTCTACGGGATGGGGTCGCTAACCCCATACCCAGTCATCCTCCTTTATCCGGGCTTGGGACTGACAGTAGCCCAAGAGGGGCTCCAGGAGGAGTTGAGTTGAAATTAGTCATTCTATCTTGTGAATATGCATCGAACATTTAAGCACTTCTCTAGTTTTTTGCCACTGATTAAACTCTATCCATCTGATCACTTGTTTTCTTACTTACTTCCTTACACCTGTTACCCCCAATGGAGCTATAGGCGATCGATCAGCTCCAATATGCTCCATACTATATTTCAGTATTATGTACTCTAAATCAAACAGCAGGAAATACAGGATTTAGAGTTTATGGTGGCTGCCATTCATCAGCTAGGAATATCTAAAACCGTAAGAGGTAACCAAGAAATACATCAATAGTCACATGTTGAATCGATCAAAACCTTAGTTAATTTGACCACAAATGAAATTGTAAAGATTCAAATTACAGTTCAGAATTAAGAACATTTTCATTTTCCAAATATTCTGATATACTATTTGATATCCATTTCTGACCATGTTATGTGATATGATACACAGGGAGTTCAAATAGTACTCAGTTGGTTGGCAATCAATGTCCTTAAGCATGAAATGTCTCACGTACCTTCTAAATGCAAAGTACTTTTACAGGACTGACTGGAGTCTTTGTATGCTATTGACAACTAGTGGCAACACCATGTAAGCAATGTTGAAGTAAGGCAATGTGTGTCCTGTCAGAGTGACTACAAGTCGATTAGCGTAGCCACATTGACTGGTTTGATCCTGTTTTACGAATGTTATTTTAGTGACTTTTTAGTGGCCCTCGCATATCTGACTGTGTTTAAATCCTATGAATGATTGTTAGTGAATTGTACATGAAGCCGATTCTCGTACGTAATCATCGACTTAACTCACGTTAGTGAATAACGGAATTAAATAAGTCAAATACGAGAATGAATTGCGAATACGTATATTTCATACAATCGTTGATCGGAACACACAATCAGGGAAACGATGGGAAGAAGGAGAAGAAGAGAGAGCGAAAAAAACGGATCAGAGAAGCCATGGGAGCCAACTCAATTTAATCAAGCGTGACTCGGTATTTGTAGTCAAACAAAAATAAGTTCTAAACATGTAATGAATCGGGTAAGTAAAACAGTTGGGGTTAATAACCGAATAGGTGACGGTATAAAAATGGCTTGAGGAGAAGCTAGAATAACCAATGTGGGCTTGATATGGTACCAGGCACTACAACTTCCGTATTGCACATTATCTTCCAACTCTGAAAATATGTAGGGAGGTGGTTAATTTATGATACGGAGTCGTTATTTGAAGAAAATTTGAATATGACTTGTATGTGTCGCATCATCACAACTAGCCCCAACTGAGATTCTAGAGTTGATCCAACTCAATGGCTTGATACATTATCTACATATGGCTCGAAATAAGAATCAATAGAGATTTCTCTATAGCATATTACTACAACTTTTATCAAGGTGAGATGAACTTTTTTAACTGAGAAAAATAATCTTCCTCAGATGTACTTCTAAATAAACTGTGTATCTTACCAACTAATATTGTTTTTGTATATTGATTTGTTCTACAACCTTTACATACCTTAAATTCATCTGTTATTGTTTACTTGAATCTTCACATTGATGATTAGGACTGCAATTGATCAGTGTCTCATTGACATATGTGCGTATTGTGCGTATTGCCTCGATACTGCCTAAATCAACAAGCATTATAAGCAAGGATGTATAGTGGCTAGCAGTGGAATCCAGTTTGACACGCGTTTCATCCTATTTGAGACTCGTCAACAGGATGCACCTGCATCTCAGAGTTGATGTTCACTCTGCGACTCGAACGCAGTATCGTCTGCTTCAAACACCATCGCGTTACCCAATTAGCTACTGAGTCCCGATGGTTCCTTGCTTGTGCAATGGGGTGAAGCTTAAATTCACTTGATTATCAGGACTCAGTGACTAAGTGGATGACACGATGGCGTTTGAAGCGGACGGTATTGGGTTAGAGTCCCACAGTGAACATCAACTCTGAGATGCAGGTACACCCGGTTGACGAGTTCCAGATCAGACGAAACGCCTGTCAAACTGGGTTCCACTGCTAGACACTATCCATCTTTGCTTTACATATCTTGTTTATCTTTTCTTAATATCGTCACTTAATTTGGTATTCAGTTGTACTAAACATTCTATGTATTATAACTTCTTATGTTATAAATGAACTGCTGGCTTTTACATGAATTCTGTCCAAGTTCTTTTTCTATCTACTGTATTATTAGTATTATTTATAACAATATAACATTCTATTGAAATGGGTAGTGTTATGTTAGATAGTGGTTGGAGGTAGTCGACGGGAAACCCTGGGCTCGGGTTTCGTGATACTTGGCACTCGTCAGAAAGATGCAACTGTAATCTTGAGGGAACTGGTGCTCCCTGGCGGTTCGATCTTGTGTCACACAGCTTCACAGTCAGAGACGTTACCACTAAACTACCGGGGCCGCGACCGACATTCTGTAGGACTGAGATGTAATCACAATTGACTGATCACTGGGTGGTGATCAATGTCATGCTTGTCTAGTCCTTATTAGTGCAGATCGAATGCTATCGATCATGTTGCAATGTGGCCATCATTCTATGTGACTTGACACTGAGTGCACTATTGTGAAATTAGATGGTGGTTGGATGTAGTCGACAGGAAAGGACTAGACACGCATGACATTGATTGCTACCCAGTGATCAATCAATTGTGATAGTGTTATATATTTTTACTATGCATCATGTAAGTAATGCCTTCTGATTCACCTTTTCTCCCCCACACTCTTTCACCCCTTCCCACCTCCCGTGATACCGGTATATTTAAAAATATCACTAACCAATCACATGATAGTAACGAGATTTGTAATTTTCTATTTGTGATTGTAAATTTTACCGATTACTGTACAATATACAATCACCAGTCTAAGTAAGTTGATATGGTGATGCACTTGGACTGATATTAGGAAAGCCAATTTATTATTGACTGCCCAATACTTCCAAGACGGATATTTAGTAAGGTAGATACTACCATTTTCACTACATTATACACAACCTTGGTGAGAACTAATCTTGAGAATTGCGTTCAGGCTGTAATCCCCTATTTAAAAGTGACTTGGATATCCTGAAAAAAGTACAGAGGTCAACTACCCGTGCAATTCCAGAACTCTGTGGTTTACCATACAAAGAGCGGCTTGAAAAGCTAAACCTCTTTACTATGTCCTATCTCAGACTAATTTAGGATACTAAGAAATGATTTTCGATCTAATATATTCTCTCTTTTTCTTCCCACTAGATCGGGACATCTTAGAAGACATAGTAGGCGAGTAGAAAAGCCAAGAACGAACAAAATACTCTCAGCATACAGGTTTTCATTCCGAGTCATCAATTCTTTGAACCTGTTATCCGAAGCAGTGGTGTCCACACCTTCAATTGACTCATACATGAGAAGACTGGACACTCATAGAAGCACACTAAAAAAAGGAAAAGTGTACGCCGTAGACCTTCTATTCTTATTACACAAATCTGAATCTGAATCAACATAATATTCATATCAATGTACAGATAAAGAAGGATATGTCTTTCAAAAGAAAACAAGAATTTATTTATAATCCTTACCCGTATCTTTTTCATGGAATGTAATTTGAATTCATTAGAAATATCGATTTCATCATTAGAATCATTAGGAATTTCATTGAATGAAGAGGAAGGAAATGTTGGTGTTGAAGATGACGATGATGATGTTCGTGATGTCTTTGCATGAAGACTTGAATGTAACAGAGCATGACATGATGAAGTAGAATTGGATAAAGGTGATGAAGAACGAATATCCTCTTTACTTTTATTCAATTTATTGTCATCATTTAAATAATTAAATGTATCAATGTTCATACCTTGATTATCTTCAATTTTTTGTATGATATCATTCAGTCTTATACGTAAATTGTATGATTTCATATATTCTTTCTATGTAACGTATTAACATCAGCTGATAAGGAATGTTTTTTGGAGGAATAATCTTTTCCATTGAATTCAATGTTCCAAACTTCATCATCACTATCACCGTCACCATCGCCATCATCATTATCAGCAGGTTTATTAACACGATGGGAGGTATCATGTTTCTGTTCCATATCTTGTTCATATTCACTTTGTTTTATTTTATATTCTTGTAATAAACGTGAACCAGCACTTTGTATAGAACGTTTACAATGAGGTAATCTTTTAGGCGTTAATAATTGACGTCCACCTTGTATTAAAAATCTTTGTAATTCATAATCCCATGGTGAATTCACTTGAAGATTAGAATGTTTCACATCTATATTGGATTTTGATGAAGATATTCTATGATGAAATAATGATCATATTTGGATTTTTGTAAATTTGACGCTTCTTCTAAACTAATACGTCTTCCATACAGATTATAGATAAACATGAATGAATGAATGAATGAGAAGAAGCTATTCAAGGATTAATACATAGATCTCCTGCTTCACTGATAAGTAGAAGCATATGAATGGATAGAAACAATCACATTATGTACTATAACGTTTCCAACATAACTGATAATGAATGAAATCATGCTGGTATTCAAATCGAATGACCTTATAGGTTTCTAAGTGAAGATATTCATCAAATGATTGGTTTATGTTCAACTATAATTCAGTATGAAATGGATTTATTTGAAAGTATCATAATATCTAAATATATAATCATAAATAAATAGAATGCTCACTAGTGACTGGCTTCAAGAGGTATATTCTGGAGTTCTAGTGAGAAGTAGTGACCAGTGGAGTTCAACCAGGTCTGTTGTGAGATAGTAACTCACTGAAGACAATGGTGGATGTGGAGCTAAATTTCGTGGATTAATTGAAGTTAGACATTACCACCGTTGGATGACGGTCAGCTCAGTGGTCTAGTGATTAAGTGCTCGCGCGCGAAACCAGTAGGTCCTGGGTTCGAATCTCGTGGTGGGCGAGGTCGTGGATGCGCGCTGCTGAGGAGTCTCACTGTAGGACGAAACGGCCGTCCAGTGCTTCCAGGTTTTTCATGGTGGTGTAGCTTCAACTGATTCATGATCTTAACCATTGAAATTAATAGAATTTAGTCAAGAGAGACAAAAAACTTGATTCCTATGATTATAAACAATTTGATCGCTTGCTTGAATATCAGGGCTACTAGTTTCCTACCATCTAGATAGTTCAACAAGTTAACTGTTTTCTGTTTGTCTTTTATTATCATAACCTATTTGGGTGTGTTTCTGTAAAGTGAAAAATCTTTCTGCTATGTTTGAAGCGAATACAAGTTCACCTAGTTTGCGAATGGAACAAAGACTCGGTGACGAAAGATCAATAAACAAGGTATTCTGACGTGTCCCAGCTCCGCTAACTAGAGAGAGAAGATCAAGTTCGAAATACGGAAATATATTCCGTAAAGCAGCCAGAAGTACAAGCAATAACAACAGGCACAAATCAAACGTATATATATAGCATAAAATTGTCCTTGGGAAGCGTTACAAAATAGCATTCTAAATGATACAACGAGCCAAGAGCGTTCAAGATTCTCCAAAGTGGGAAATACGACATGAAGGTGAAAATGAACACTTTTGGCGAGAAAACAAGAAATTCGAAATTTTAAAATAAATTTACAAAAGTAAAGTATTCAGTAACTGAGTTTTGGGGATCTAGCAACCCCAACAATTTCGTTGTACAAATTTCAAGAAAGCTCAATCAGGGATATCATGGTTATCGATTCCTGGACTGATAACTTCAATCTGGCAACCACTCAATATTTATCGTCAATATCGACCAAGAAATAAGAGAAGGAAACTTGTTGAAATACTTGGTGTTGAGAATTCTATATCGTACCTTAAATATATTACTGAATAAAGCCACCAATAATAAATAATAATAATACAGTGTGTAGTAAATCAGTCGAATTCATTGAACTCCACAGACTTATCAGTCTTAGCTATTTTTCTCCAGTAATTAATCGTTCAAGAGGCGCTGATTTAACAATCATCAAACGATAGAATGTTCAGATTCGTATTCGAAGATTTATGAAGTGGTGTAATTTGTACAACTAGCAAATTTGTAGAGGAAATTTCATTCAATCTAACAGCATACAGCCCATTAAGTCAATAATAATTCAATCAAGAGATAAATAAACAAACATACAATTTAATATCAGAAAGGGATTTTATGGATATTGTTGTAATTTTAATAGTTGAGATCATAAGTCATTTGAAGTGACTGTGAACGTAGGAGATTGTAATTGCTTCCAGGTTTTCCATGGTGGTCTATCTTCGATTGACTCATGATTTCAACTACTAAAATTTCTAAACTCTCCACGAAACATCTTCTGATAATAACCATCTGCTCACTAGTGACTGAATTCAAGAGGTCTTTCCTGGCGTTCTAGTTAGAAGCAGTGACCAGTGGAGTTCAACCAGGACTGTTGTGAGATATCAGCTCACTGAAGACAATGGTAAACGGTGGCTCAATTTTGTGGATTAGTTGAAGTTAGACATTAATACTATTAGATACCGGCTCAGTGGTCTAGTTAGTTAAGCGTCTGCGTGCTAGACTGATAGGTCCTGGGTTTGAATCTCGCGAGGCGAGGTCGTAGATACGCACTGCTGAGGGGCACCATACTAGGACGAAACGACCATCCAGTGCTCCCAGGTTTTCTATGGTAGTCTAGCTTTAGTTGACTCATGACTTCAACCAGTGAGATTGTAATTAGTGAAGTGAGTATAATTTAAGAATAGTAAATCGTATCATAATAGTCTATCGGTCAAAATGAAGCTAAGAGGAACATAGATATACATAATCTAGTTACTAAATTGTTATACAATAAGAGTGCATATATACTATTAGTCCATTAATAGTTCTTAGAGTTTACCCGTAATTTAATCTTCACTAGGTCATGACAATAATAATAGAATAAAATACTGAAATTATAATGAAATCTAATATAAGAAGGTATGGAAACAAATTAAATCAGTAAAAGGTCAATAGCAAAGAAGAGAGGAATAATGACTAACAACTAAGGGGGTTGTATACTACACTAATAGTTCACAGAAGCTACCCGTAATTTAAATCTTCACTAGGATATAACAGAATTAGCAAAAGGTGCCAATGCATATGAGTAGCATATTTACAACTGAGGAACATCTGGAACTCAAAGCAACTGTCTGTCAACCAACACAAAGGTCAGAATTTTCAATACAAATGTCAACACAGTTCTACTGTATGGGGCGAAAACCTGGAGAACTACGAAAGCCATCATCCAGAAGATTCAGGTGTTTATTAACAGTTGTCTACGCAAAATACTTCGGATCCGTTGGCCAGACAATATCAGTAACAACCTATTGTGGGAGAGAACAAACCAGATTGTATTGGAGGAAGAAATGAGGAAGAAGCGCTGGAAGTGGATAGGACACACATTGAGGAAAGCACCCAACTGCGTCACAAGACAAGCCCCCACATGGAATCCTCAAGGTCGAAGGAGACGAGGAAGATCAAAGAACACATTACGCCGGGAAATGGAGATAGACATGAGAAAAATGAACAAGAATTGGATGAAATTGGAAAAGAAGGCCGAGGACAGAGTGGGTTGTAGAATGCTGGTCAGCGGCCTATGCTCCATTAGGAGTAGCAGGCGTAAGTAAGTAAGTAAGCCAATGCATATCGATTGTTTAATCCACCATTATTATTAGCTGCAGCTTTACAGTCAGTATCAGTATTATCAAATCATGTGGTGGTATGAATAATTTAAGAGAGAAATCAATCAAACTAACTAATTACCTTGAATATCTAATTACAGTGAGTCCATTAGCTCTATTCAGTGATCGATATTTTATAGTTAGACCATCGAGTTGAGAGAAACGTGAAGCACAATTAACATTGTGTTTTAATCATGTGAATGTTGAAAAACTATATGAAAATCTATTGAAATTAGGTGCAATATGTGATTAGAGACTGCCGAATGTTCTACGTACTACACTGATACCAATGTATAATAGTTCTAAAGATGTTTATATGTTTGTAAGTTGTCTTCGTCACTGAATCAATTTCTTTGAGTACTAGCAATGACACCAGACCATTCAATTCGAGATAGATCACTTGAAAGTTACATTTATCACATATCAAGTTTGAATAAGGATTAGATTTCATTGAGGAACTTATTTCTCTTTCACATCTTTACTCAACGGTAAATCTTTATTGTCGGTAGTAGGCAAATTATGCAATGGAAAAGTATTAGACTAATTTTGATAATTCACTTCTCCACAAAGTTTGTGTTCATGATGCTGCTTTCTTCTTTTTTACACCTCATTGAAGAAATGTATCAAATAGAGAAGATTTAAAACATAATGTAGCACTAAATGAAAAGTTAATATTGGCTTGGAACTCTTTAACAAAGTAAATTCACAATTCCATACGAAGTCGAACTTAGAATCTTCAAGTCTCGAAGTGAGTTCAGTTTACCTAATAATATCAGTGGGCATGTAATGGTTTATATCACTGAATTCAGTTGGCACACCATATTATGTTAAGATGATCCGATACTATCGATTACCTATTTATCATACCTCTGATCTGATCTACATCTAATCTTTAAAACCTTTCTATTGATAATTGAAAGTTATGATCACTAGTAATTAAACTTAAGGTGGATTTCTCAAGTTATTACTGAGAAACTATGATTAGTCAAGACAGGTCAAAAGTTATATACCTATCTTACACTGACAAGTGAATTGAGTCATGTTGATAGGTGTTACTACCTGGTTGGGGACTGCGAGATGATAGCAACCGATGGTTAGAGACCCTGAATGCATCCACTCTTTGTGTTCTTCTCAATTCTAGTCTTTTGAATTTCTCACGTCACTTTTTTCTTCTTCCAAATTTATTTCACTTGGTCATACTCCTTGAATAACATCTTCAGACCCTAATCTTTCCGATTACTGCTGATACTTTTACTACCTCTATCACTACGGGATTTGAATCGATAACTGCATCTCTGCGCTAATGTAATGCAGTATGGCAACTCGGACTGATGTACGTACGAAGTTCTATGCTGTTACTGACTGACTGACACTTGTTATTATACCACTGATTTAATGGAAGTACTTAATATCCAACTTATAATACAATAAATCAACGTTAATGATAACTTAGACTTATTCGTACTGATTTTCAGTAAACAGTTCAAGCTGGAAAAAAGCGTTTTTATCAGTAGTGACTGAAATGTTGTTGAACATAGTTCGCGTCCATACAATACAAAGGATTTATTTTAAATAATTTATTTAAACATATAAATATTGGTACAATGAAGCACAAAATACATATGCGCCACACAAGTCACTTGATTTGTGTGTGGGCTGTGATACTGCCCGAATGTTCACCAGGAGCCTTTGACCTACAAGCTATAATC